GTCCCGGAGGCTTGGTCTGCGCTGCCGCCGCGGCTACTTATACAGTGGGAATTCGTTGGAGGGGGGCAGGAAGGTGGGCGGCGGGGGCGGAGAAGGGCCGACTCGTGAAAGGGCAGCGTCGTGCCAGGCGAGGGGAGCCGAGTCAACAGCCCGCGCGGCTTAAAGGGCCAGTGTCCGCGCGGGCACGAAGCGGGCGCCTCGGGGGACACGTCGTGCTGGAGCGAGATTTTTCGGGACGGGGACCTATCACGCTTTACGGGGCTCCCTTAGCTCGGGGGTGATGGTGATACGCTTTGCACGGTCTATTTTGATTGATTGCAACCACTCCGACGTTTGGAATAACGGGCTTCCCCCTAAGATCATCTCCGGTGCGTTGGCGTGCATATATGATTATTCCAGGTGAGCTCTCTCTCTTGACCCCCGTTAAGTCCAGACCTGCAGTCATACAGGTAGAAAACAGCGTGGTTTGGGAACCCATCTTTTTTTCCACCAATAAATAAGTAGTTTCCCCCTCATCTTCTGCACTGTTTTTTCACTTCCTGGTGTAGCCTCAAGGCTTGGCAGTCACTGGGTGGTCTCCCATCCAAGTCCCAACGAGGCTTAACTTTGCTCAGCTTGCAAGCCCAAGCCGAGGCTGCCATCTCCGTTTGTGTTCCTCTCCGTTTTGAAATGGGGGGGGGTACCTGTCCCTAAATGTCTCCATTTCGGCTAGAACTGTTACCAGCCCTCCGCTGTCTGTCGAAGGGAAAGGTTTCCATATAATATACAATATAATTATGGTTAGAAGGGCCCAGATTCAGTATTTTTATAAGGCTGGCTTCTGTACCAGAGAAGCCTATTGGCCGTATTTTGTGAAAATAAATGCAGTACAGTGGAACCTCGAGTTACAAATTTAATCCATTCCGTGACTCTGGTTGCAACTCGAATTGGTTGCAACACGAGGCAAATTTTCCCATAAGGTTCAATGTAATTCAATGTAATTACTGTTAATCCGTTCCAGCGTCCGCAGACCACGCGTCAGGGGTGGAAAAACGGCAGCAGACCACGTGGCAGGGCGGAAAAATGGCCGCGGACCATGTGGAACGGGCGGAAAAATGGCCGCGGATCCAGTTCGTAAGTCAAGGCGAGTTCGCAAGTCGAGGTAAATTTTTGGGCCCGGAGCTGGTCGTATCTCGAAAAATTCGTAAGGAGGGGCGTTCGTAACTAGAGGTACCACTGTATGTACATATGCGTGCTGTGCAAAGAAATTCCAAACTGCCTTCCGCCAGACATTTCCCATGAAAGAAAATCACCACCATCTTTGGACTGATGTATCCCAACCATTTCTCATGTACCTGTCAGAATTTTATAGGAAGCGGTGCTTTTCGAGGAAACATCTCCCAGCCAGAGAACTGCCACTTTCCACAATTGAAAAATATCAATGCGATATATAAAGAAAGAAAAGGAAAAAACGGGCCTATAAAACAGAAGGAGTAACCCAGCAGCATCTATAGAAATTAAATAGCGTAATTTAATTTAGGCATTGTTTTAATTTCTGAACCTGGTCTCTTTAAGTTAAAAAAAAAAAAAAACTATTAATACGCATACCTTTAAAAACGACTCTGGAAAGAAAATTGCACAGAAAATAGGGAAGGGAGGGAAAAGCGGCCCCTTCCCCAAAGGAAAACCGCGTCCAGCAAGCGGTCGGTCACTTTCAAAGTCCGTTGTGAACTGTCCCACAATTGTTTGTGTTCGTTTGTTATTTGGCATATATTGTCCCTTTTCGGATGGCTACTTAACTCGGTCTTCCAGCAGATACACGATCAGCTCGTAGGTGGACAGAACGATAGCCGTGTTGGGGATCTGCCTCATGAGCTGAGCAAACAGTCCGCGATAAAAAGCAAAATATCCCTCTTCCTGAAATACCAGCCGGGCCGTCTGGACGAAGGTCTGGTACTTTGTGCCTTCCTCGCGTAGCCTCGTCCGGATGACTTCTGGGGACGGGGAGGGGGCGAAACGTCAACACACAACCCTGCGCCTACATTCAGCCCAGGCTGGTTGGCGCAAGGCCCGTCAAAGGGGGCTAATCCCGCAGCTGGCGAAGGCCTCCCACCGCGGCTACGCCTAACTCGGAAGGAAAGACTTCAAAATCCAGAAAGGAACCGATTCTACAAAATCAGGGCTCATCCCTCACTAGTTCAGCCTCTCGCAAGTTCCCATGAAGGACTATTATCAACAATATTCTCTCCTATTACACTGGATTAATTTATCAAACGGGGCGTGCTAAATTCCGCCATGCCCACGTGTTAACACGCGTGCCCTGTTGGGTTCCATTTTCTTTCCCTTTCTGCCGGAAAGCGTGCCATGGTGCTGTTTCCCCTCGCGGAGGAACGCTGCTGGGGGGAAGTTCCAGAGCAAGGCTTGCTCGGAACAATGAGGGCTAGAAACTTGATCTTCGCATACCCGCTCCCAAAGCCCATTCTTCAAGGCGTTGCTTTGCGTTTCATGGGTTTTGCTAGGCCAGGGTGGTTTAGATATGTCTGGGTCAAAGAGAGAGAAACTCACGTACCGTGTGGATAAGCAATACAAGACGCGCATCCTTTGGAAATGGCAGCAGCTACTGTGATTCCAAGGAAATTGGTGGAATTCGTCTCCGGGCTTCCGGTGAAGGGAGACCAGCTCAGATCTTTCAAGTGCTGCTTCAGCCGCTCGTAAATAGCGAAGCAGATGATGGTCTCGGAGATGCCCGCGTAGGAGGCGGTGAGGCCTCGGTAAAACCCCCGGACGCCTTCTGAGCGGTAAACGTACCTGGCGCATTGCAATGTGTTCATCTGCTTCAAGCCGCGGACTCTGGCGGGCAGAGAAGGAAGAGCCAACGGGCGGTTGGTTTTGCTGGATCGCCTTTCCCAGCTCTTACGTCGAGTTAGCCAACCGGGGCCTCCTTCATGCCCAACTCCATCCCTCTCAAAACGGGCGTATATCCCATTTGCCCCGAACGCTTAAGAGTCCAGGCAGCGTTTCTCAGACTCGGCCACTTGAAGATGTGGGGACTTCAAGTCCCAGAACTCCCCAGCCAGATCCAAACGCCCTCCTGCTAGCTTTCTAAGCGCAAGGACTGTTTGTCTTGGGGAGAGTCCTCGCCCTCCATCACAGCCGAGGGGCAAAATGGTATTTTCTGAAACGCAGATAACGGAAAAGGGGGGGAAAAAATCACGGGAAAATGCCTGCGTTTGGGGTGCTCAGCTCCACATCCTTACCTTCTTTCCAGCTGCATTCTTGTTTTCACCATCCAGATAGGGTTCATCAGGGAATTAGTCACAAAAGCTGGAGAACAGGAAGGAAAACCAGCAAAAAAATGGGAGGGAGGCAGAGAAACATCAGCCAGGCTATTCACGAAGTCTCAAGAGCAAAAACAGAACGTGAACCCCCCCCCCCGCTTCTCTCTCAAGCTGGAGGACCCCGCAGGCTGGTGGGATCACAACTCCCATCAACCCCTCACCGGCCTGGGTTTGATGGGTGTTGTGGTCCCGAGCCTCTCCGTTCAGTTTGAACTGGACAGCTTGAAACAGCAGTCGATTACAGAAAATAAACTTCACTCCGCAGATGTTTGCACGTGGCTAAAACTTGTGAAAGGCTTGTTTGCACCGCCTGGCAGGGATTCCCAGGTTGGAAGAGATCTGGTGTGCCAATGCGACAGAATCCACATCGCTTCTTCTCACCTCTACGTCCTCATGGTCGACAGCCAATCCGACGTTAGTTTTTAATTTCTTTATCGCACTGAGATTTGTAAGCCATCAAAAATGACGTATAACCGTGGCTGTATTCACGGAGCTGGGCTCAACGGTTTCCCCCCGCTATTCATCTAAACACACAGGCCGTGGAGAAGAGAGAGCGTGCGAATTGCAAATGCAAATTTCCATTTCGCAGCTCTGTTTACTGACGGGGTGATTTCCCCTTAAAACGTGAAAAAGAGAAACAGAAATCGGGGCAGCCTTTAGACCTCAGAGAACACAAACATCGCCCCAGCTTGTGGACAGGAATATTTTCCCCTTTTGATAGACTCCTTTAAACAAGTGTTTTCCAAACTGGGCCACTTTAAAATGTGTGGACTTCAACCCCCAGAATTCCCCAGCTAGCGTGCTTTAAGATGTAAGGACTTCAACTCCCAGAATTCCCTAGCCAGCATGCTCAGTGGCTGCAGAGTGCAGGAGGGAGAATCTGATTGCAGGAAACACAATGGGAAATACAGAGATTGCGCAGACACGGTGAACGCAGGTTCCCCACCGATTGCTCCAGGCTGGCCTTGGAGTCTGATTTTTACCCCCAAAGTGGCACGGTGACCCAATTGGATGGGGGGGGGGCAGAGCAAGGCTTGGTGCTTGGGACAGGATGACAAACCTGCGGAAGCTGCTGAACAGATGTGGACGATGCTGCTGTTGGGCACAAAGACGTGGTTGAATTGCTCCTTTGCTCTGGAATAACACGCAAAATAAACAGCCCTGGAAAGAGGCAGAGAAGAAAATAAAACGGATTAGAAACCAGCACCTTTGCCAAGTTAGATATCGGCATCCAAGCCGGCAAATTGGGTTTTCCCAGTCCCCAACCCCTTTGGGACACGGGACTTATATTTCACTATGTAGTTTGCATTTCTAGAGCACAGACTGCCTGAAGCCCGCAGGATCTATTAACACAAACGCCAACCCTCACATTCTTCACATTACCCAGTCTCGCAAAGACCAGAATTTCCCTTCCTTCCCCCCCAAGTGGCTTTTTTCAATCCGGCGCCAACAAATGAACCCCCTTGGAAAAATCAAAAAATCCACCCCTTTCCCGTGAAATTCTACCTGGATGGCGCAACTCCAACCAGATTGGGCCCCAGCCCGCGGAAAAGTGACTTTGGGCCCTCCTTTTCCAAAATGGACCTTAAAAAAAAAAGGAGAAACTTAAGCATATCTGTTTAAAGCAGCTGGCAATTAAAAAGGATTGGAATAAGAGGCTGGTGATGAAAAACGACAAGGTAGTAATTTTATCCAGGCTGTTTCCAAGAACAGAATGGCGACTTTCTTCTTTGTCAAGTCCTCTTCGCCTTGCATTTATTTTTCAGCTGTTCACGGGCTGGACAGCCATTAAGCAACTCCCCACCTTCCCATTTCAGCAAAGACTCCGCGCTGAAGCGTGTCACCCCAAAATTGGCCCCAAGCCTGGCTTGAACAGGGAACAATTGTGGTTAGGGGCCAAGGTAGGAAAGACAAACCTCGCATTGTCTTTACAAGTTCACGGAGGAGTCTTTGTAATTCTATTTTCCGTGGGAATTTTAGAACAGCGAGAGTTTTTAAAGGGGAGCGGGGCGGGAACCACTCTGGGAGCCAATTCCCAGTTGCCAAGGACAAGGAAAACTTGGCCTCCTTCTTGTTAAACTGGCAACTCTGGCGTAAAAAAGTTGCTTTTTGTTAAGATTCACCCAAGGCCGCAATCGCCCCCCTCCGCCTCCCTCCAGCGCCGCACTGCCCCTCTGCGCTTACAAAATGCATGCAGATTCAGCAGAGAAGCTGCCAAGGTGTGTGTGGGTTATTTTTAAAATGCCAAGCAAGCTGTTTTGCCTGGCCTGGGCATCCTTGTCTGAGTGCTGCCCCTGTGAAAAACTGCACTGAGAAGGGGAACAAAGACGTCCCATCAAAGTCATGAGAATCACCTAAGCCGGTGTTTCTTAAAGTGTGGTCTGAAGACCCCTGGGCGTCCCCCGAGACCCTCTCAAGGGGTCCACCAAATCAAAATGATTTGCCAGCTACTGAAGATATTTGCAAACATTTAAAACAATGCCACTCTCCTCATTACCGTTTTTTATTTGTTAAAAGAATATTGGGTTTTCTCACGAGAGATACTTTATCGCATCTCATGGGAGTTGAAGTCCACCCATCTTAAAGTGGCCAAGGTTGAGGAACACTGGGTCAAGGTATGAAGGCAAAGGCCAACTTCTTCAAGACACTCACTTGAGCACCTGGATGAGACCGGGGGGCAGAGAAGTCGGGCGCACCATGCCCTCGGCGCTGAGCGTCCCCAGATGGACCTGAGGATAATAGATGGCCCGGAAGGCCAGCCTTGAGGACTGCAGCCTTGTCTTGATCACTTCCAAAGGGCAGGTGAAGATGGCCCCCACTGTTCCTCCACATCTGTAAAATTCAGCACACCCAAAAAGAAAAAAAATCCAACGTTAGGGGGAAAAAAAGAAAGAAAACCTGACTTTACCCTCTGTTGATTAAAAAGGTAAACCCGTTCTGAGTTCCAATTAAGCGTTTTGAACTAGGAGACGGGTTCACTTTATGTCCTGTAGAGCATCCCGAAGGCTTGATATTAAAAGAGACAAAGACTTATGTTCAGTCAGACCCAGCTAATGTTGGTACGCTGATGCAACAGCCCTTCCTTAGCCATGGATTTGTTTTTATTGATCAATTCATTCAACAGATGTATACAGCTGCCCATCCCCCAAAAGGAACTCTTCTATCTCCTGTAACCAGAACTCTAAGATACACTGCTGCTGGGCATGGAAGCTCCACTCGGGTTAAGCGCTGCTGATCAATTAAGCCTTATCCTTAGTTACTTTTCTCCCGGTTTCATCCTGGGCCCTCTGATTCGGCAAGCGTGGGAGACCTGCGAGATCACATCAAAAGTTTGGGAAAGACTTTTCCCCCCACACTGGGACTTGAAACTTTTTAGTCCAGCCATCGAGCGGGCACACTTACAGCCACTAGGGGTCGTGTGAAAATGACGCAGGAAAGGAAAAAAGACAGAAAACTGGAGCCGCTGTTGCTGCCTTCCAGAGAAAACCTCTCTTTTGTTGCACTGAGTTTCTGAACTGGCTGCAAACAGATTGCGTGCAAAGGTGCGGGTTTGCCCAGGGGCATCTGAGAGGCTGGGCGAGAAAGGATTACAGGCATGAACTTTGCATTCAGAGGGTGGATTTGGCAAACCACTGGTCCAGCCCTCAGTTTCCCCCTCTGTAAAACAGCTAAATGGGAAACCCCGGGACGTTCTCACCAAATTCAGGGCCTACAGGACTGCATTGTTACTGGCCAATACTAACATTATGGGCTAAAGAGGTCTCCCATCATCTAGCCACTGGCTGCAGCAACACGCATAATACATTAAAAATAGCTTGCCCCTGCCCAGGAAGGCTCCACTGAGATGCACCGCATGAATCGCGGCAGTTTGAGCCCTCTGTTCATTTCACAAATTCGGCAGCGAAGCGTCTTTTCGTCCGTGCGTACGTCGGAGAGATGTCTCAAGCCAATGTCCAAATGGCAAGATAATTAAAAAGATTAAAATAGTTAAAAAATGAAATGAAACGCCGTCGTGGAAAGAACGCGTGGGCCTCAGCGTGGTCTTCCTGAAAAATAACCCTAAAGGTTCCCCAGGTGCTCTGGTGCATTTCAGCTGCTCTCCACGGGAGAAATATTTTCATTGCACGAGCCACGCCGTTCATGTTTGCAAAAACTCCCTCCCAGGTGAGGGAACGATGCTGAATTGCCCACTCATCTCCCCTCTGCAAGGCCTTTCCCTCCCCCTTCGCTGAGACCGTGCCGCAGTGCCTTGCGGGCGGTTGCAAATTCGATCGCTGGCCTCTTTTAGCAGAGCTGGGGCCGTTCGAAGATACCCGAAACCAATTGAATTGTGCAAAGTCTAACCTCGGCCTCGGGGTACCTGCTCGGCATGAGGACCTCTGCAGTCTTTGGCAGGACTGCAATGCCACTCATCCCCGACCACGGGGCCCTGCTTAGCAACTCAGCGCCATCCGTAGGGAGGTGCATGCTGTTCCTGTTTGAGGAACAGCAAAAAGTCGTCCTCCCCCCCCCCCGCAACCTTTCATTCAAAGAGGCTTTCCCAGTGGAACTGCCTGTCCTTCTGTGCACGTGCAAACATGCGCTGCCCCATTAATAGCTGCGTGGTCAGCAGGGCCAGCCAGCAGATGGCCGGACAGATGCCAAGAAATCCCTAAGCGAGCGGGCAAACAACCCACCCAAGGCCACGGGATCGCTGATGGAAAGCGATTCTCCTCTGGCGCAATTATCCTGCTGCGCCGACCGCTTTTCGCACTTTGCATCCCTGCTCCTGGGAAAGGAGCGCACGCGGCGAAGGAAAGCACCAGCGAGGTGTTTTTCCAGCCGTCACCCGTTCACCGACACCCTGCAGCTTTTCTGCCAAAGATGCCACCTTGATGCTTCTTATCACAAAACGACAATTTGCCCAAGGGGGGGAGCGTTAGAGGAAAAAACATTTCCCTTTTCTTGCACCCCTGGATCAAATCCATCCCCCCCACCCCACCTTTCTAGGAACCAGCCAATCAGCTGCAAACTGGAGACCAAGATTCTGTACTTTCAACTTTTGGTGGCCTGGTTGGACGCACCACGGTTAGGCTTTGCCAAGAATTCTGGGAAGTCTGCTAACACGCGCGTGCCACTCGCACAAGGGGTGATACGGCCTTCAACAGAGCTTCCTTCCACCACCCCTGGATTTTGCTCTGCTGAGGCTTTCCAGCAAAGCTCATGTCAGCTTGCCCCATTCTCAACACGGGCCCGTTTTGTCGGACAAATGGGTTTTCTTTTTCGGACAACTCAGAGATTCTTGCTCAAAATGTAAAAAGAGAGAGAGAGAGAGCCAATTTGCAGACAGCTGTTCACTCGATTGCTCAGCTGAACTTCCATGTTCAGAGGCAGCGTACCTGTGAACAACTGGTAGGATAAGCTAGGTGGGTTTCCTCCCAGCCTCCAAGAAAACTCTCCCTCATTTCAAAATTTTATTTGAAAGCTCCACTGAGCGTTGAACCGATGTGCAGAATCTTTGGAACGATCCATAAAGTAACCAGCAGTTTCAAAAATAAGATGAAACCATTCCCCGCCAGGACAGATTAATGTTTAAGCTGTACCAAGCGAGTCCTGTTTCTGCACCAAGATTTCTTTTTCAGTTGCGTGTGCCAACTGGGCAAAAAAACTCCGCTATCTTTCTTCTGCCGCAGCAGCCTGAAACCTTTAAAGAAAAACGAGAGGTTTTATTCCGTACGATCGCGGCTGAAGTACCAAGCGACTCGTATGTGGAACATGCCAAGCCAGCTGGAAAGGATTTACTGCCCCAAAGACTCTGTAGCGCCACTCTTAATTTGGGGAGGAGAAATCTTTTCTCCCCAAATTCATTGTTTTAAAGCTGAATCACCAACCTTGGGCCGGGCACCGCATTTCCAATCGGTGCCTCCCTATCGACAGAAAGAAACTTGCCGGACTGCACAAAACACGGGTCGGGGTGGATCAACAGTGCGGAGATGTTGAGATTACATATCCCATCGCCCCCGATCAACAGCCACACTGTCTAGGAGCACTTCCTGAAACATCATGGCTTCATTTCTTCCCTTCTGTCCTGCTGGTAATTTAACAGTTGCAGCGAGCAGAATATTTCTGCTCGCCTGAAATTCGACTGCTGAAATGAACAGCGTTTAACCTGTTAGCTCTACTGCAAAGGGTGTGTGCCAGATAAATGCCTCCCCCCCAAATGCAGTTAGTGGATCACGACATCCTACTAAAATACCACAATGCACGTCCCACAAATCTGAAGCCAGCGCGTGACACGCTTCCTGATAATTCTGCATTTATGTCAACCAGATACGTTTTGCTGTGAAGCGCCCTTGTTGTCTGCGCTGTACCACTGGAAAATCTCACGTGATCCATCGCTTAGATACCTTTTAAAAAGAGAAGCTGCTGGCTGAGGCTAAAGAGACTTAATGCTCACCTTCCTAAGCTTTCTAAGAGAACAAATAATTGTACTACAAAGAAACACTTAGGAAGTTTTCAGCCCATCCTTCCAAGCAAAGCTGTTACAAAAACACAAAGTCCATACTCTCTCTGTATAACAAAAGCAACTTGCCTCAAGCTGCAGTTATCGCACCGAGGTCTGTGGCGGGAAAGAGAGAGATCGCGCCAGTGAGCCAAGCTACATTTCAGAGCCATTCAAAGACCTTGAAGCGGGCCTATTGTTTGGGGCCGGGGATCCCAAAATAGGAGAGTTTCAAGGATCTGGCAGCGGACAGGAAACCGCTGGCCGATGTCCTATTTGCTTCGGAGAATAATGAATCCCCGTGGAATAGGTTGCCGAGGAGTTGACACGCTAAAATGCCTTTTCTTAACTTGTGTGGCTGCCTCTTCCCAAACCAGGAGCCATTCCAGGGACATGGCTGTCCCAGCAGGGGGTGATGGGCGCAGTAGTGATGTGGGTTTGTACCAAGATAAGACACCAAGCCCTAAGCCAGTGTTTCTCTACCGTGGCCACTTTAAGACGGGTGGACTTCAACTCCCAGAATTCCCCAG